CACACACACACACACACACACACACACACACACACACACACACACACACCTATTTCTTGGCTTTATTCTGCTGGTACTACCTTCTAGTCTGATGCTTTCCAAACTTGCCTCGTCGTAAGAATTAAGTAGAGAATTTGTTAAAAAGGCATTTTCCAAGCCCTCCTCCCTACTCATTTGTTCATGGTGGGGGAGAACGTGGGTGGTGAGGTGCAGGAATCAGGTGATTCTCATCGAAGGCAACGTTGGGGAAGGACTGACTTAGCTTATTGTGTCCCCTTCTCTTAGGTGAGGAAGCTCAGGTACAAAGAAGTTAAATCAGTTACGTCTCTCGGATCACTTCTGTGCTTTTTCTGTTTCTAAAATATGCACTTTACTTTTGACACTGCACAAGATGAGATTACAAGTATAAATAGCTATCTGTCATAAGTCAAAAAATTACATTTCTTGGTTGTGGCACTCATGCACTGGTGTAAGTGAACCCAGGTACTCTGAAATGACTCCATCTAAGCTCTTAAATAGTGAAGCAAGTCTGTAATCAAGATTTTCATCTGTAATATTTTTGGTGGCTAAGAATGAAACACATTTCCTGTTAAAGTGTTCTCTATAAAGCCTTGTACACTAGAGATTTATATCCAGTAACATATTTTTTTTTATTTCCAGAAGTGCTTTGGTTGGTTGGAAAATTGCACTTTACTTTGTATTACATAAAAGGTATGCGCAATGCTGGTGAACTTCAATATTAAGTGAAGCTTTTTCCTTCAGGCAACACTGCAGGATTTGGAACAGAGGCGCCCCCAGTTGGAAGAACTCATTACCGCCGCCCAGAATTTGAAAAACAAGACCAGCAATCAAGAGGCTAGAACCATCATTACCGATCGAAGTAAGTCTTTTAACAAGCGTGGGCAACTTACGATGTATGAAAAAGTTTCAGTAATGACTTGGAAGTCGATTTGCCTCTGTTGCATTCATCAAAATAGTGCCAAACGGTTGTAAGTTATACCTCTTGTGCTAAGATTTTTCATTTCATAGTGTTGTCTTTCAATAACTGAACACAATTCCATGGAATCGAGGAAATAAATTTTTCATGAATCCAGGCTTATGTAGATGCGAAGCATGGAGTGGTGGGCGTGGTGAGCATGGTGTGACAGAACGTTTGCTCCTTGGTTGTCATCTCTCTGGGCTAGCATCCATGGCGATGTCAGTCTCTCCCTTGTATTCTTGGTCGTTGGTCCAAGCAGGCAGTTGCTTCCTGGACTGTCATTCGTTCCCTTCTGCGGTGGCACTCTCATATCTGGACACCCCCCTGTTACTGTGATCCTCTCACTGTGTAACAGCAGAAATCATTGTACCGTTCCTCCTGCCATGCCGGGACGGGCGAGAGCCTTGGGAGGTTGTTTAAGGCCCATCTGCCTAGACATTGCCTGGACTCTTCTTTATACATAGGGATTCGGAGTGCCTGTGCATGGGGTCTGGAAGTGTAGAGGAAGCAGAAGGGAAAACTATTCTCCTTCTGTTACCCTCAGAGGCTCTCCTCAGGAATGAGGCCCAGTTCACCTCTGCTATCTGATTCTCTTGGATCTCCCTGGATTTCTTTCCTTCACTCTCCCTACCTCCCCTCCAGGGACACACATCCATAGTGATTTTTTTTTTTTAATTTTTTTTTTCAACGTTTATTTATTTTTGGGACAGAGAGAGACAGAGCATGAACGGGCGAGGGGCAGAGAGAGAGGGAGACACAGAATCGGAAGCAGGCTCCAGGCTCTGAGCCATCAGCCCAGAGCCTGACGCGGGGCTCGAACTCACGGACCGCGAGATCGTGACCTGGCTGAAGTCGGACGCTTAACCAACTGCGCCACCCAGGCGCCCCCATCTGACCTAATTTTTAACATAACCATCTACACTGCTCTCTTTTTTTTTTTTTTCCAACGTTTTTATTTATTTTTGGGACAGAGAGAGACAGAGCATGAACGGGGGAGGGGCAGAGAGAGAGAGGGAGACACAGAATCGGAAACAGGCTCCAGGCTCCGAGCCATCAGCCCAGAGCCCGACGCGGGGCTCGAACTCCCGGACGGTGAGATCGTGACCTGGTGGAAGTCGGACGCTTAACCGACTGCGCCACCCAGGCGCCCCGTGATTTTTTTTTTTTTTAAATTTCCCGTGTAATGCCCCTTTCCTCCCTTCCCATAACCAGCGGGATTTTTTTCTAGTGTACGAGTAGGGAAATCCTTCATTTCATCACCTTTTCTTTTTCCTTCCAAATCTTTCGTCTTTTACCAGGCATTAGGCTTTTGAAACTCAAAACCAAGAGTCTTCAGAATTTACATTCTGTTGGATTAGTACTTGCCTAAGTCACCAGTATAAAAGGTTAATATTTGAAAAATATTATTGGTCATACTTGTATGCATTAGTAAACACTTAGTGATAATAGCTATTATTTATTGAGTTCCTCTTAGGTATCAGATAGTAGGTCTTCTATAGTGTGTGTGTGTGTGTGTGTGTGTGTGTGTGTGTGTGTGTATAAAGTCTTTATAAAATCTTGTCAGCTAAATTTCCTAATCCCTCATTTTATAGATGAGGAAACAGTTTCTGAGAAAGGTTAATCAAACTGCTCGAGTTTACAACATGAGCCAAGACCAGAGCTTGGAATTTGCCAATGTTTCTTTCTGGCTTGAAAGTCTGTGTTTCTTCTGGAATGTTTACCCTGTTTCATCCTGTTTTATTGTTTTTGTTAATGACCTTAATCACTAGGACTAGGATTAAATACTTTTTTGGTCTGCAGTTATGTATGTTTTGATTCACTTCCTCAAGACCTTTCCTCTTTCACCTGTTGTGATCCTTAATTAAAATAGACTTTTTTGATTTTGAAATTTTAACTCTTTATTGTTGCTCAATGTATTTGAATATATGCTAATGTATTAGTTGAGTAGCACTAGCCACTCTAATAGGTAAGATCCCAAAGCTTGGTGGCTTACCATAGAAGTTTACTTTTTTCTGGTGCAGTCGAAAATAAGCAGCTTTCTGTGACGTCATTCAGGGACCCAAACCCCATCCGTCTTTTGTGTCCAGAACATCAGAGTCCTCTGCACTTAATGGGCAGATGAGGAATAAGCATTGTTCGTTGAAATTTACTAGGAGGCAGGACTGGAAGTGGTACACGTGAATTCTGGTCAGAGCCTATTGGCTGGAACGCATCACATGACCACACCTCGTGGCAAGGTAAGCTGCAAAATATTGGTTCAGCGTTGAGCCCAGGGAGGAGAGAAACTAGTTGGTAAGAAACTCATCATTCGTTTCCGTAGCTAATTTGGACAGGAAGAATACACTTAAGCTGTAGAGTTCTGTGTAAGGTATAGAACGCCACTTGTATAACGAGCAAGGCAAGAACAAAATTGCCTTATAACGATCAACATAGATCGCTCTTTGACTGATGTGGTAGGATGTTCCTCACTCAGTCTGGAACCGTGAGGCTTATCTCCATCAGGTTGCAACATACTGGTCCAAAAGAATGAATCTTAGTGAGTGATTTGTTAAGCGATCTGTTTCTTGCCTGAGAAATATGGAAATTTGGTAAAAATGTTTATGCAAATCTGAACATACCATATAGAAAGTCGTTTGTCATTTCACTAATGAGAAACAACTTCTATTTTTTCCCCTAAGAGGAAAATAACACTAATTTATTTTACACTACCCATTCAACATTGTCTAAACATTTTCCATTATCTCTTGCAATCTTTTTTTGATATCGTATTGACTTTTTTTTTTCATGATGCAGATTAAAATTGAGTGACCAGAGGGCAAGTTTTTATCTCTCTGCTAATATCCAGTAATTTGAACTGTTCTGTTTTTCTAAGCTTTTGTCTTTTGGGAATGAATACCTTTATGAATTATGAATATTTGTAGTACAGTGGAAAGATTCCAATCCACATGGTCCAAAAAAAAAATTTTTTTTTCTTAAAAGCCAAGTGTCTTTTGAGACATGTCATGTTGCTTATTAAGAGCCTAAGCCAGAATCTTAGTTCCAAATATGCCTGGAGCCTCTAATGCCGCCACCGAGATAATTCTGACAAGATATGTTTATCTAAACAATGTCGTTTGCAGCCCTGCTCTGCTACAGTTTATCTCTCCATTTGAAATCTATGACATGGGATGGAGATTCAATACTCATAAAGTTTCAGTCGTGTTCAAAATAGAATTTTCCTTAGTATAGATTTGGCTTTCAGGGAAAGAGCAGAAATAAAATACTTGCTCATAAAATTGTATTTTCTTATTGGAAGATTTCAGGATTCCTTTTTTATTGCCCTGAAACTCCTAGAAATACTTAAAAAGGAATCAGCTAAATAAAGAAAAATATTCGGTAAGAGTATAATGCTGTATTGAAACATTTTTCCTTCCTTGGTAAATCCCAGTTCATAACTTTGAACAGTTGGGGAAATCTGTATATATTTATTGCATTCTATCAAGAGAAAAGTCCAATTCGAAGCAATTCCTCTCTACCAGTAATATCCAAGCTAAAATCTCAAGTAATTGGGTCTGCAAAATACCAGCATGTTTCACCGTATAAAACGATTTCTATGGTATCTGTTGTTTTTCAGGTGATTATATCTATGGAAATCATGTTGTAATGATCTAGGTGAGAGAAAAAAATTTCATTCTCCGTGCATTCAAATAAGAAATTCTCCGTGCTATTTCTGGTGTTCAAACTACTCATTTTCCCTCCGTTCTTTGGTTGCTGAACGTGTCAGGCATCCCTGGTCATTTTCTCCTGCAAAAGGGCTAGGTCAGGGGACCAAAACCAGCTAAGATTGGTATGATCTGAAATTGCTTCCTGGGAGGCTTCTGAATTGTGCAAAACACTTGTTCATGCCCATTACTACTGCAGATCATAATACCCTAATACCTTACACAGCAGTGAGGAAGGTACGGAAAGAAAGAATTTTAGAACCTTGCTTCTGTAGCTTCTCCCACCATAACTGCCCACTGTTACCGTTTTAAAGATCTTTAACAAGAGCACATAAAGGTTTTGAGGGCAAGCTGCCTGGGCTGGCCCCTTAGTAGCTTTGTGACCCTGAACAAACAAGTCATCTCAGTAAACTTTCTGATCTCCGTCACCTCCTCTATGAAAGAAGATTACTTGCATCTACCTCCTGGTTGGGAGAATTGGATGAGATAATACAAAAGGAGCGCTTAGATCCCAGCCACAGTAAGAACTCAGTACATATTAGCTCTTGTTATTTTAATTATAATCTAATTGGGTGGTTTGCATGCTTAATGAGAAAGCATTTAATCAGGTCTCCGGTAGCTGCCTGGTTTTTAGACCACAAAGAAGAAAAGAGAGAGAGAAGTTCAAAACAACTAAAAGGAGAAGGTTGCTTTGGAAAACATGGAATAAGATACATACGTAGAATTAAACAAATACATGAGTCATACTACAAAGAGCAAGGCAATTCGTGTAAGGTATTTTATTTTCAATATTTACTATGACCTTAGGAGGGTAGATACTATTATGCCCATTTTAGAGATTGGAAAACTGAAGCTCAAAGAGCTTAAGTAATGTGCCTACAGTTGTAGTAAGATATCAAGCAAGGGACTAGGATTCTAACTTATGTATATATGACTCCAAAGCCCAAGGAACATCAGATGAAAAGGGTTAGTCAAAAAACAAAATAAACAAGAGTCTCTGGGAACTGATAATATAAGGAGTAGCCGCGGTTCACTGTAATCTGGATATAATTTTTACTGCTCCCATTTCTATTGTAGTCTTGTATGCATTTCATTGTGTAATTATAGGACTCTCTTGCACACGTTGGAAATGTAGAGAATAGCGAACCTCCATAATCTACTAGCTGCACAACCTTGGCCAAGTGGAGTCCCTTCTTAAGC